TATGTTTCCGTCATTGTTTTTAAACCATTCTGTTGAGTCTTTTAAGTGTGATGTTTGTCAGTTGGCAAAACACAATCGTGTAACTTTTCCTTCCAGTTTTAATAAAAGTGCTGAACCTTTTGATGTGATTCATTCTGATGTTTGGGGACCTGCCCCTACCTCTAATATTTTTGGTGCAAAATGGTTTGTTTCATTTATTGATGATTGTACTCGGGTAACTTGGATTTTCTTGATGAATACTAAATCCGAAGTACCACAAATATTTATCCAATTTTATAATATGGTACAAACACAATTTGGGAAATGTATAAAAAGAGTTCGTTCTGACAATGGTAAAGAATATGTCAATCATACCTTCTCCAACTTCACTAGTAAACATGGCATTCTTCATGAATTCACATGTGTTGACACCCCACAACAAAACGGTGTCGCAGAAAGAAAAAACTGTCATTTACTTGAAGTTGCTCAATCTCTCCTGTTTCAAATGTCTGTTCCCACCTCTTATTGGGGGAAGGCAGTTCTTACTGCTGCCTATCTGATTAATCGGGTCCCATCTCGAGTGTTAGGCAATATTAGTCCTGCTCAATTTATGCTCTCACGTTTTCCCTCTGTTCCTATCTTACATAATCTTGAGTCTCGCGTGTTTGGTTGTGTTGCTTTTGTTCATGTTCACAAACAATATCGCAACAAGTTGGATCCCCGTGCTGTCAGATGTATCTTTCTGGGTTATGCACCCAATAAAAGAGGGTACAAACGTTATCATCCTCCGAGTCGGAAATTCTTTGTCTCCAAAGATGTCACCTTTCATGAAAATGTGTCATACTTCACTCATTCTCAGTCTCAGGGGGAGAACATGAGTGACTTAGAGTCTGAGTCCGAGTTTCTGATCCTTGGTCCTAGCCTCCCGAGAACACCTGTCAGTGTTCCCTCTCTTGAACCCGAGTTGTCACCTAGTTTGAGTTTGAGTCCTAGTTCAACACCTGAATCTGAGTCAGTAATTGTTCCTGGTCCTTCAATGCCTTATGTTCCACAGGAATCAGCACCTTCAGCACCAACTCTAGTATATCAGAGAAGAAGTAAATCTGACCTTCTCCAGAAACAAATTCAATCGTCTGAACCGGAGGTAAGTACTGAAAATGATTCCTCAAATGATGATTGTTCTATTTCTGATACTTGTGACACTAATCCAGTTGATTTACCCATTGCTTTGAGGAAGGATAAAAGATCTTGTCCCTCCTTATATCGACACCCTATCTCTCAATATGTCTCCACTAAACATCTTTCCACACAATATCAAAGTTTTATTGCAGCTGTTGATTCTGTGAAAATCCCATTATCAGTTGAAGAAGCATTGCAAAATAGAAATTGGGTCCAAGCTATGGATGAGGAAATGAGAGCACTTGAAAAAAATGGTACTTGGGAGATTATTGAAAGGCAAAGAGACAAAAAGCCGGTTGGATGCAGATGGATCTATACCGTAAAGTATAAATCTGATGGCACACTTGATCGGTACAAGGCAAGACTAGTGGCAAAAGGTTATACTCAGACATATGGTATTGATTATGATGAGACATTTGCCCCAGTGGCAAAAATGAACACTGTTCGAATTTTACTATCTCTTGCTGCTTCATGTGGATGGGAATTGCAACAGTTTGATGTTAAAAATGCATTCTTGCATGGAGACTTAGAGGAAGAAGTGTATATGGAGATTCCATCGGGTGTTGGCATAACAAATGAAGCTAACAAGGTGTGTAAATTGAAGAAAGTCTTATATGGACTAAAGCAGTCCCCTCGGGCATGGTTTGGAAGATTCACAAAGGCAATGGTGTGTTTGGGCTATAAGCAAAGTCAAGGAGACCACACTTTATTTTTTAAACATTCACAGGAAGGAAAATTGACTGTACTTCTTGTTTATGTTGATGATATTATTGTTACAGGAGATGATTTGGCTGAGAGACATTTGCTCAAAGAGAAATTATCGGCAGAGTTTGAGATGAAAGACCTTGGACAACTCAAGTATTTCTTGGGAATTGAGGTAGCCTACTCAAAGCAAGGCATCTTTATCTCTCAAAGGAAGTATGTTCTTGATCTTTTGCAGGAAACTGGCAAACTTGGATGCAAACCTGCAAGTGTTCCCATTGAACAAAATCACAGGATAAGCTTTGAGGAGGAAAGTGACAAAGTTGACAAGGGTCAATATCAGAGATTAGTGGGAAAATTGATTTACTTGGCACACACTAGACCAGATTTAGCATATGCAGTCAGTGTGGTGAGCCAATTCATGCATGATCCGAGGGTGAGACATTTGCAGGCTGTAGACCGCGTCCTACAATATCTTAAAGCAACTCCAGGGAGAGGACTTTTGTTTAAAAGAGGTGAGAATTTAGCTATGAAGACTTACACTGATGCGGATTATGCCGGCTCAGTGAGTGATAGAAGATCTACGTCAGGCTATTGTACTTTTCTGTGTGGTAACCTTGTAGCTTGGAAGAGTAAGAAGCAAAGTGTAGTTGCTCGATCAAGCGCCGAGGCAGAATTTAGAGCTATGGCACTAGGAATTTGTGAACTATTATGGATGAAACAAGTTCTAGAAGACTTGAAGATACAGTGTGAAGGCCCTATGAAATTGTTTTGTGACAATAAATCGGCTATTAGTATTGCTCATAATCTTGTTCAGCATGACAGGACTAAACACATTGAGATTGACCGACATTTTATCAAAGAGAAGTTGGATAGTGGGCTGATAACTACATCTTACGTTCCTTCTGGGCATCAGCTCGCAGATGTGTTAACAAAAGGCTTACCAACAGAAAGATTCAAACAACTTACTTGCAAGCTGGGAATGATAGATATCCATTCACCAGCTTGAGGGGGAGTGTTGTAAATATTAGACTGTAAATAGTAATTAGTAGTATTAGTAATGAGGCCCATTAGTCAAAACCCATTAGGGTTTCTATTCTCTCTTATTTAAAGCATGTAGTTGCAACATTGTAAATAGAACTTTTAATTCTATCAGTGAAATATTTTACAATAGTATCCTTCTCCGATTAGAAATTAGAGCACCACTCCTTAACCGTCAGATAATGGTCATAGATGAACAAGGGACCATTATCCTAACTACCCTTTTATCATCCTCATGAGAGAAGACTACCAGATAATAGTCGTTGCTTAAATCAATGATTCTGATAACACTATTTTTCACCACATCTGCTTCAGTCTAGTCTTAAGCGTCTTGTAACCAATCTTCCTTCCTAAGAGCTTGAGTATCACTCCTCTTTTCCAAGAGCGATGAATCATTTTCTCCTCCAACTCAGACAAAACAAAAGTTGGACATTCGTACTTTCCAACTTTAGCTTTCACAATTTTTAGACCTTCACCCTTTTCCTGTTGATCACCATCAAGTATTTCCTCCTTCAGCTCCACACTAACATCAAGATTACTTGAAATAACAGTGACCATTCCTGATATAATTTGTTTGTCCCAGTAGAAACATTCATTCCTACCGGCGTCCTTCAATTCCACCTTCTTTAATTTTTATAATACTCCTTTCCTGAAGATCAACTTCATCGACACTCTTCTCCAATCGCTATGGAGAGACAAACCTTAGTAGAGGATTCATCATCGACACTCTTCTCCAATCGCTATGGAGAGACAAACCTTAGTAAAGGATTCATCAACACTCTTACCCGCAACCATTCAATCCCCTTGTTACTTATCACATAAGTAAAAGTTTAAATAAATAACAATTGAGATAAATTATCCACATAAATTTTGTAATTTTATAATTGAACATTTTATGATTGACATAATTATAATTTAATAAATATATTATTTTAAAATATAAATATTTAAATTTATTAAAAACATGAATATGTTACTATTAAGAGTGTTTATACTAAAATTAAGAGTTTATCTGATATCCACCGACATTCAACAGGAATTAATCAATCTATCATGTCATATCAATAACACAAAATACATTAAGGTGATTGGTTGATACATACCAATTAAATTCCAAAAATTAATACCACCATGTCATGGTTATATTGATGTTTGACGTTTAAATAATGTTCCTTATCTTTTCAAAATGGTTACAATAAAAGAACCATATTTTTCCTTTCAATGAAATAAAAAATTGTATATAGTGCATTTGTGAGATGTATTAAAGGATTGACTCATACCCGTTTTAAATATTTTAATGAATTGTGCTGATTTTTACAAAATGTAGAAGAGTAATTTAGATTGTTGAGGATTGAAAACATATAAAAAGATTAAGTGAAATCTATGTAAAGAACTTAAATGAATCTGTTCGATGTTGAAACTCTAACGAAATCAATTCAGTAATTTTTGATTGATGTTGAAACTCTAATGAAATCCATTTTAAATATTTTAATAAAATGCTTACAGATGAGAGGATGTTCAATGGATTTCATCTGTTGTGTCTGCAAAAATCACATTAAACCTAATAGGCACGTATTTTTCATTTACCCTCTTACTAAAAAGATTTGACGAAACAAAATATTAAGAGTAATCTACAATTCAATTCTGTTAACAACCTTTGGAACTTCTGTACTAAAAGGTGGATTCTCTTAATATGCAATCACTTAAAAAGCTGTCGTGTTTATCATCAATGCAATTTGAAATGCTATGAAATGTGCAATTTTCAAAAATCAAGTGACTTAAGAAAAAAAAGCTGTCGTGTCCTTAGTTGCTTACTTACTTTATTGTTAATCTGTAATATTAATATAATTTTCTTATTTGTGAAAAAAAGCTTACTTTTATTCATGAGAGCCAGACGTGTAAATGAAAGGATAATACTAATTAGAGTTAAATAAACATTCAATCTACTCAAGTTTATTCTAAAATATATAAATATAAAACTGTGATACTGATGGGAAATATCACCTCATTTTCTACTACTAATCAAAGCCGGATTCCCTAAAATTTATTCTAAATACTAATCTCACCATCTAACTTCATAGTCTATTGCATAGAACTTCTCATGTTGAAGGAGGAATTTTCCACCCCTTTGATACTGGTCCATAATCATAAATTACTTCTCTATGGCATGACCATACAAGTTTTATAGCCTCAGGTGTTCCAATTCCTGCACCTCTAGGGTCACCAGCAGGTCCAAACCTGCATAAATACATTCGTTGTTTTTTCACAAATTCACAAATTCACAAATCAGTACATGTTTTTGGTTCTAAACAACAAATAAATCACTTGAAAGATATCCACTTACCAGTGGTTTTGTGGAGCTCCAGTTGTTCTTGCTCTTAGACCTGCGTAAGTAGTGCCATTTACTGATTTCCCAATCACTTCCTGAGAAAAAAAATTTATCCATGAATAATCATGTCAGATATGACACGAGTCCTACTAACATCTAGACATGTTGCATACCAAAATAAATTTGTGTAATAAAGATCTTACTTGTAAAAATAAAGGATCATTTGAAACTACGGCGGCAGTTAAGTGTGCATGCATTTTTTCCAAAGCCTCCAACACAATTGGTAGTTGATGGTCTTTGTAGTCAGTAACAACCTGGAAATAAATAACAAAAAAGATTTATCTTGCGAGGAAACACTGACATTGTATTTTGATGATAAAGACTTCAGAATAGCTTTATTTTTTCATGTTCTAAATCTCCTTTTCCGCCCGCACCTGAAAAGGCCCAAATATTTCTTTTGTCACAAGCTCATAATTCTTATCCTTCATAATTTCCTCAAGAGGAACATAAACTGCAGTTGGTTTAATAGCACCATAAATTTGTGGAATTGTATGGTCTTCCAAAGGCTGGCCACCAAAGAGCAGCTTTGATCCTGGTATCTCAAGTAAATTTTTTGTGTGTTCTAGCAACGCGTCAGTTGTAAACTGCAACAATTGAGAAAACACACATTAGAATTTTAAATCAAGTATAATTGCATAAAATAAAGCAGATAAATATTCTGCCAAATTCGAAACTGGATGTCCAGGATTCGTCATCGAGAATGTCAAAAACATATGTACAAATTTATATAAGCTAAAACAAACTTTGAATTTGACTCTTCATCAAATCAAATAATATAAAATCATATATCATGTAAACTAATTTATCTAACTTATCACAATTACACTAGAATTCGTTCATATAATAAAGTTTTAAAGATATTAGTTGTTTTGGCTTTCAGTACTTCAAAGAGAAGAATTCCATAAACTTAATGTTAGTGTAAAATACTAAAATCCTACATTAATACTTACAGTTAGGACTGGGCCAATTGTCAAGTCTGCTAGCTTTCTTCGCTCAGCAAGTTCTTTCAACTTAGATACCAAGGAAGTCTTAGACCAGTTCTGAACAAGGGAAATTGAGACCCTAGAGTTAGTAAAGACAGTACACAAGGCATATCAAAGTTTACAACTTTACTCTAGTTCTTGAGAACATTCAACCATGAATAAAGAGCAAAATAACAACCAAGATGACTAACCTCATGCATAATTAACAACGATTGTGCTGAGCACTTTTGACCGCTGCATGCATATGCATCTTGGTCACATACCCATGCAACGTAATCTTCCTGCAATCAAGAAACAATAGAGAAAATATTATACAACTGAAAACCGACTCAATGTAATTCTGGAACCCACAAAATATTGTAAGAAACCTCATGAACATCAGGGCCCAATATTTTCCAGTCAAACCCAGCATCTTCTAATTTAACACGGCCCTTCAAGTCATCAGCCAACTTCTCTGCCACTCTTGAACTACCGGTAAAAAGGGTCATCCTTGGATTTGCCTGTAAATATAATTTCACTTCATGATCAAACATCATTATAAAAGGAACATGTAGCCACATACAGGTATAGATATATGTTAATTACAAAATAAAGGAGCTCAAAAGACAATAAGACCCAACAAAATTACAGTGAGTTGAAAATTGAGATTATTATGAAATAAAATCATAAAGTGAATTGGTAATCTTTCAGCAATAATATCAGCTTCTAAGAATCAACGTTTGAATGAGAAAAAAGGTATCAAACAGCCAACCTCTAGCAGCAGCTTGTTCATTGTCTTTCCATCACAATTTATGAAGTCTACATCTTCTACAGGTAAGCCACACGAATGAAGAAGGCGCAGCATTTGTTCCATTACAATGCTCACCTACAATATGAGTTAATGGTTCAAAACTATATTGCAGAAAGATTTTAATATTTTAAGGGTAAGTAATACTATTGTTTTCAAAATCCAACAGAAGCAAAGCAAAATAAGAATGCCTAATAGCAATAGACACAATGGATTTTAAAGCCGAATAAAAAAACTACTAAATCAGTTAGTCTTGTATGGCGGGAAAAATGCAAAATCTCCACATCCCTAAGAAGATAAACCATTGCATCAAAATTATTTTCACCACGGTATTAGCAATCAACATATCATGTAGTCTATAAGGTAGTAACCGACCCTCTTGTATCAATTTTATATTACAATGTCGTAAAAGTCCTCAAATCAGAGCCAAAAGTTACCTTGCTATCGACTTTAAGGACTGGCTTGTTGCCCATATAAAGAGCACCCATTAATTGAAGGACTGGAATCTCTAGGGGGAAATTAAAAGGAGTAATAATTGCCACCTGCAAAACAAACTTTCACCTATGAGATTACAATACACAAAGACGGAAAGAGGTCGACGGCAATAGTGTGTGAAAATATCTAAAGATTCACTTCATAAACCAGACACAGACAGTCATTGAATTACATGACAAATCCATATGGCACCACTAATCTAAACCACATCAGAAATAATTTAACACCACTCCCCCGCTCACACACACACACACACACACACACATTTCTTTCAATTCAGCATCAAAGAAAGCATTTCTGTTATAAAGACTGGGCTCTTGCAAGCAAAGAACATCAAAATCAACCTGCGGTTTTACCTTTCCATCATCTGAAACCTCTGGAAGTATTTCTTTATTTTTTATTTTTTGGGGTACAATCTTTATTTAATAATGCCAAAGAAATTAGATACTCAGACCAAGGTCATTTTGATATACACATGGAACTGAATAGGTATATCAAACAGTTGTATTATGCCCACCTTAATACTGAATCAGAGCCACAGAATTATTATATGTTAAAAGGTTTTATTTTGAAAACCTTGCTCTTAAATTTAATTTTTTATTTTTTCCATCTCTTACAGTGAGCTCAAATTAAATATATATTAAAAAAAAAACTCAAATCAATCACTTCTATAAACTAACCTCAAGATAGTTGATAATTTTGGAGCAAAGGTATCAGTGGTGAGAGAATAACAGAGACTACTATTTCACAGAATAGGTTATAGCAATTTAAAATAAAGTAAAACACAATCCTTACCGGACCATATGGCCAACGAAAGCCATGACTTTGCTGTCCAAGATGATTTCCAGGTACTGAAAAAGACCTAGCCAGGAAGCGAACCTGCCAAAGATTTGTTGAAATGAATAAATGACAAAGGAGAAATCGACAAAAGAATGATATGGACTTAATAACTTCTCGGGAAAACCATGTGTGTGTGTGTGTGTTTGTATGATAAGGTTAAATTCCTCCACTGCAGAAGAATTAAGGCTTCAATGAAAGAGCATGGAAGGAAATTTATCAATATCTACTGGAGAGGTAACTATCAATTAAATAAATCCTACCAATTTGGATTCTTCCATCATTCTGTATCAGAGAATGCTAGATTTGTAATTAGGATTTTACTCATTTAACAATAGCAAGTCTAGTTTTGATGTACCTGATCTCCGCAGAAATTCTCTAGAAATTTTTGTGTCACATAAACTTCAGAAAAAGCCTGCTGATAACTCTTTGGAGAAACTCTTTGTATTAGCCTTGCAAAGAAATCTGTAACCTAAGGATCATGCAGAATAAATTATGAACAGTTCCAGTTAAACAAGAGAAAAACACGGAGTAAATAGACTTCATAATATCTTATAAAACTGAATAAACTATCACACAAACAATATATATTTGGTTAAGAAATACCTTAGGGAGTGATAGCATGTGAGCTGCCTTAGTAGTTATGTCTCCATACATAAGATATCTGCACATCATTTGTTTAAAAAAAAAAAACTTAGACTTCAAAAAGATGGGCAAAATAAGAATCTGAGAATTCCTAATATATTATACTCTAAATAATATAATACATGTTACTGTAAGTGCCTGAATTGGTTGCATTCTTTAAGTGAAAATGACATTTGTGACAGTTTAAAGCTTCTTTATTCTTATTTTTATCTTAGGAACCTTAAGAATACATGGTCCCAGGTATTTTAGTTACTCCTCTTAGCAGAAGTCTAAGACTAACTAGTCTAGAAGTTCATGCTGTAATCTCACATGTTTAATCGTGAAATATGGAAAAACTTCAGAAAAGGTTTAGCACTCCAATGACACTTTGTAAACCAACCATCCAAAGATCAACTCACATTTCCATTTCAAAATAGTACAAAAATAAATGTTGCACTGTTTTTTGTCCAAAAAATACAAAAAACTTTGGGGATAGTCTATATCCACCCACAAATGCTCGGAAAAATAACCTGTTTGGACAACAGTCTCATATAATAGACAACATAAGGCATAGAAGGATAATTTGCGCATACCTCTCTGGTGCCTTAAAAGGATTGTGTAAACCATGTTTGGGGCAGCTGGACAAGCTTTCTACAAAGGGCTGATAAGTCAAATAAATGAAAAACTTTAGTCAACATCTCTCTCTTAAATCAAATAATGAATTCCAACTAACTTATCAATTGCCTTCAAATTAAAATTTATGTTTGTTTTCTTTATTTTTTCATAAAATACCGAGATACATGTCTCACACGCAGAGGTTTAAGCTTTAAATTTGAACCTCTTAAGTAATAGGTGTTGCGTGGTGAGTGATAAGGCAATGCCTCAAGCAGTGAGTATTTCATAGTTTGAAGAGTAATGAAGTAATTAAAGGATAAATCCTTGAATATATCATGTTAAGTTTTCGCTGAACAGCAGTTTTTTTCTGGGCACAACAAAATAACTATAGTTCAAGGAAATGGACCTGAATGCCTGATTCCTCAACTTCAGCAACTTTAATAAATGGCTCTCCATTTAAAGGATCCAGAATTGTATTCCAGTTTGATGATCCAATCCATTTACCCTGCACTGAGAGAGAAGACAACAAATACATTCAGAGTGATGGTCGTCATAGCATTGCACAACAAATACATTCAGAGTGATGGTCGTCATAGCATTGCACAACAAGTTTAATTGAAGCTAATTTAAAAAAAAAAACTAAATCATACAGAAATTTACAATAACACTCAGTACCATCCAGATTATGATGAATAAAAGAAGAAATGATATTATGGGAAATTTTTTTTCCTTTTCCATTATATAACATTGTCTTTTGATAAACTTAAAATTGAGCAAACTACTGGTTTGACACCTTGAAGACAGAATTACAAAAAAACATAAATGAAAAAATGAATCAAGTAAATTTATTGATGTTCACCCTTCTCAATCTCTATTCATCAAAATCATTCAATGTATTATGAAATTTACAAGAAAATTTATGACGAACAAAAACAACATCAGTTACTGTGCCTACCCAAGTTCAAAACTTCAGCAGGATTTGCACCAGATATCTCTTCTGCTTGTACTGTGGCGGCAAGTGGTAATGAATGGACACACCTGCAAGTTAATATAAAAAAAAAAAGCACTTAGCAGTCAAAAACCACATTAAGACTAGTTTAAGAGACATGTAAAACCCGACCATCCAATGTGAGACCACTATTTTGCTACTTCATATCATTAATTATAAGACACAATTACAAGAATGAGGTGATGTGGCAAAGTATTAGGATCTCACTGCCTTTAAACTCTAAAAAAATACACTAATGAAATAAATTAATATAAACCAGGTTAGAAATACAAAAAAGCAACATTACATAAAAGACAAGATCAATAGATCATCGACCTCACCATAGGCATATTAAGTGCATGTTCAGATTGGTAGTGAATTTGACAGAATCACAATGTGACCACCCGGTCAACACTGATTGCGGTTGTCGCAGTGTAAATTAACCATAGTTTGTTATTTATCATAAGAACTGTGATTTATTTGAAATTTTTTGAGCTTCAACAAAATCACTGCGACCATGATTCATCAGACTAACTATAATTCAAATATGCATTATATTTTTCTATGTTAATTGATGAAAGACGCCTAAGTAGACCATCAAACCAAGTTGATAATTTCAACGGATCAAAATTCAATTGTTTATTAACTGACAAAACCGGTGACTATTTCATGTAAATTCAGATCACAGTATTATAAAATATTCAGCATAAATTGAACAGGTTCCGATCTCTGTCAAACGAAGATTATTAAAATTATAGAAAGGGAAAAAAGAAGAAGAAAAGAGAATAAAATACCGAGAAGAATTGAAAGCAGCGACAGCATTTTGTTTGGTAAGAGAAGAAACCCTAGCGGCTCTGGTAAGAAAAAGGTTCATCATGATGTTGCAGCCGAAGTGTTTGTAAAAAAAACCCTTACCACACTGAATTTTTAGTTCTAAAAAGAGAAGTGATGCCTATTTATTCGTCCAATCTTGGATTTTGCAAAACTGAGTCAGATACGTGTAACCTGTTGTATTGGGTTGATAGTTTCATATCAATCAGGAATTGAATATGATTGGTATCTGATTTCGGGATAAATCTAAATATGATCCACGTATTTGTGAGTCAGTTCACTCCATAACAAATACTCCAGTGTATCAGTGGGTCTTCGGTTCGATACATAACACGTGCACGTTCTCGTTCTCATTGGTGTTATCACTGCACCATTTAATAATATTTTTTTATATTAAACTATTAAATAAATACTTTTCTTAATTATTTTCTAAATAAGGAGATGAAATGATCAATAATAACTCCAATAAAATATTTGCCATATTACAATGATGGTAGTCATGTATTTGAAAATTGTCGTATTTAAGGTTGTTGGATGATGTTTAGAGTTGGGTCACGCAAGGTGATGCATGTTGAAAAAAATAAGTGTGAGCTAAAAGTATTGAGAAACAAATGTGAAAAAGTTCTACATTGATTAGAAAAATTGAGATTGAGTACTTTATAAGTGAGAAAAAGTTCTACATTAATTAGAAACACATATATCATCTTAAGGTTTTTGGTCTTCAGTTCAATACATAACACGAGCACGTTCTCATTGCGTGTTATCACTGCACCATTTAATAATATTTTTTTATATTAAACTATTAATAAATACTTTTTTAAATATTTTCGAAATAAGGAGATGAAATGATCAATAATAACTTCATTAAAATACTTGTCATATTACAATGATGGTAGTCATGTATTTGAAAATTGTCGTATTTAAAGTTGTTGATGATGTATAGAGTTGGGTCACGCAAGGTGATGCATGTTGAAAAAAATAAGTGTGAGCTAGAAGTATTGAGAAACAAATGTGAAAAAGTTCTACATTGATTAGAAAAATTGAGATTGAGTACTTTATAAGTGAGAAAAAGTTCTACATTAATTAGAAACATATCTATTATCTTAAGGTTTTTGGTCTTCCGTTCGATACATAACACGTGCACGTTCTCATTGCGTGTTATCACTGCACCATTTAATAATATTTTTTTATATTAAACTATTAAATAAATACTTTTTTAAATATTTTCGAAATAAGGAGATGAAATGATCAATAATAACTTAAATAAAATACTTGTCATATTACAATGATGGTAGTCATGTATTTGAAAATTGTTGTATTTAAGGTTGTTGATGATGTTTAGAGTTGGGTCACGCAAGGTGATGCATGTTGAAAAAAATAAGTGTGAGCTAGAAGTATTGAGAAACAAATGTGAAAAAGTTCTACATTGATTAGAAAAATTGAGATTGAGTACTTTATAAGTGAGAAAAAGTTCTACATTAATTAGAAACACATCTATCATCTTAAGGTTTTTGGTGAGTATGTGGTGTGTGTCTCACAAGTGGGTTGTTCATAAAAAAAGACCCCGATATAAAAATATTTTATCGTGTTGAACCCTCGAATTGATGACCCAATATTCGTTGGTTCGAGTGAAGGATTAACTCACTTGTATAGAATGTTCTCCCCACATGGCGGTGGGTAGGAAGCATGTCCTGTTAAAAAAGTGTTAATGGTAGTACAAGTGTATGTGCTGAAAGAGCTTCCGTTTGAGGGAGAATGCATGTCCTGTTGAAAAAGTGTCAACAACAGTACAAATATGTGTGGATGAAAGAACTTCCGCTTGAGAGGGAGTATTGTTTATAGACTTGACGGTTGATGGCAATATTGATTAGTCTTCAGACGCGTAAAAACATGGTCCATGTTATGCAAAATGATTGAATATGCTTTGTGTTGTGCATTATGATTGATGCATGAAATGTTATGGTTCTTGGTGTAATATTTCACACTTGTGGATATACACATGAAATGATGCATGAAATGTAATCATTGATCAGTGCATGTAGTTGTGCCAATTGGTGTTGGACTTTTAGGGTAAGTATGTCCAATATGGCTTGGTTTCCTTTTTTTGAAAGGGTCAAACGAAGTTGGGTTTTGGGATACCAATGAAGACTAGGCTAGGCGTCAAACGAGGTTAGGCCTTTGTAAGGTGCCAATAAAAATTGAACTTTGATATTTTTATGTTAGTTTTACAAGGCTCTAAGCTATGGGAATATACTAGATGAATGTGATGATATGCATGGCATGATGCTAAAGCAAAATTACATGATTAATGCATGAGAATGATTTATGCGATGATTTGAATGTTTCAACAAATCCCCTTATGGAAGGTCGGGAACAGTTAAAAATGATATGTTTTTTTTGTAATAACGCTTCTTGTCAAAAGGCAAAGGTTGTAGGATATGATGCTAGCATGATCTCCTGACACTTGTTTCAAACTCAACGGTAGTTGGTGTACGATACAGTTTACTTGAGTAACTTGAAAATATGGAGATGACTTGCCCTTCTGTAGCCTATGTTGCCTCAGTCTGTTAGGTCTTTTAAGAAATTCACCTCGAAAGGATTTCGAAGCAACTTGTCATAATGTGACCTTGAGATGGCTTGTCCCAATATTTTAAACCTTGAAGCGGTCTCCCCCTGATTAACTGATTCTTGAAGCGACTTTACTTTGATTGACTGAATATTTAGGAAATTTGCCCTGCTCAATAAGGTATTGAAGTGATATGCCTCTTATGCGACTGATTCTTGAAGTGATTTGCCCTTAACGGGACTTCAAAATGGCTTGCCCCAATATGACCTTGAGATAGTTTGCTCTTGATTAACCAACTCTTGAAATGATTTTCCCCAGAATGACCGATCCTTGGAGAGATTTTCCTCTGACCAACAGTGTCTTTAGGCGATTTACTCCTGGTCGACAGAGTCCTAAGGTGGTTTTCCCCTTATTTGATCCTTTACAGATGATCAAATTCCTCATTGATTTCTAATTGATTGCTCATTGTCTTTACTTGACGTTGATCGCTAATTTGTAGATAAAATTATTCCTTCAAAATGGTAGTTCTAATGCGATGTTCATGCAGGTTTTACAATCAAAATCATTATTGAGATGATGTTGTGATATACAGTGAGTGAGTCAATGATCGGAACATAATTTTGATGTAGATATTCAAAGTTTGAAAATAGCAATGTGAGAACATGATACAAAACAAATTGATAAGTCCAAACTTTTGAGATTGACATTAATTTTGGTAAAACTAACTTGACAGCAAGATGTTGGACAAGATGTCCTAACATGAAGAGCAAACTGAAGTACAAGATGTTGCACAAGATGTCCTATCATGATAATTTGACATCTTTGTCTGTTACTTTGCTGTTTTGATACTGCTAATTTATTTTCAGGTTTCAGAATATTGTCGGAATATTTGTTTATCCTAGGTGGCGTTCAAGATTGAGGAATCAGTGATTCTGTTTGAATTTGAAGATGCCATTTTCTAAGTGTGAAGACATTTTAGGAAACTTTGGATTGAAGAAACTATTCTTGAGGAGAATAAGTTGCAGATTCTGTGTAATAGAATTGCTACGTTTTTGAAGGTCAAATTCAGTATAGTTTATGGTTATAAATAGGATGGATTTAACCTAATCAAGGTGTGGAAAATACATTGTTGCTTAGTGAGTTTTAGGATTTGTTTATTTGTGAGCCTCTCTTGTATCGTGTTAATACTAGAGCTGGACTGTTTGCATTTAGTTGTAATTTCTGTCACTGTTGTGTTTGAAAGGGATTGAGAAGGGTCTCATACCTAGGAGAGTCTTAGGTAGAAATTAAGCACGGGTAGTGATTAGGTGATAAGTTATAAAATGGAGGTTGTTTAGCTTAGAATTAATACTATCTAGTGGATTTCATTTTTGACTTGGTAGCCCCCAAACATAGGTGTTGTTGAACACCAGACTGGGTTAACAATTATTGTGTGTTTGTTTACTTTCTGCAATTTTTATTGTGCTTCTTCTTATCATTGTGTTTAAAGCAGAGATCAAGTGTCTTGACATCTCTTAGGACATATGAGATTTGCATACCAAAATTTCAATTGGTATCAAAGAAGGCATCCTGCTTTGTATCTGGGTGAGATTCAAGAAAGTTACTTTCTAGTGCAATGGACAAGGAAGGAGGAATATTGAACAGACCGCCCATCCTTGATTGATCCAATTATAAATATTGGAAAGTGCACATGATGGCCTTTATTAAGTTTATGGATAGTAAATCTTGGAAATTTGTGGTCAAAGGATGGGATCCACTAAAGGCTAAAGATCAGGAAGGTAAGACCATTTATATGATAAAGCCTGAGGAAGTCTGGGATGATAAAGACGACGAGCTAGCTCAGGGTAATTCCAAAGCATTCAATGCCTTATTCAACGGAGTGGACAAGAATATCTTCAGATTGATAAAGAATTGTACTGTTGCCAAAGATGCTTGAGAGATTTTGAAGACTGCTCATGAAGGAACCTTTAGGGTGAAATCATCAAGACTTCAACTTCTTACAACCAAGTTTGAGAACTTGAAGATGAAGGAGGATGAAAGTATTCAATACTTTCACATAAACATTGTTGATATAGCCAATACTTCAAGTGATCTATGAGAAAAGATTCCAGAAGCTAAGTTGGTCCAAAAAATCCTAAGATCTCTTCCAAAGAAATTTGACATGAAAGTGATTGCCATTGAAGAAGCCCAAGACATAAACATCATCAAGGTGGATGAACTCATGGGATCTATTCGGACTTTTGAATTGGCAATCAGTGAGAAATCTAAAAACAAGAAAAGCATAACCTTGGTGTCTAATCAAGGTGAATGTGAACCAAATTCCAAGGAAGAATTGTCTAAGGCTATTGTGTTACTTGGAAAATAGTACAACCAACTGTTAAAAAGGATGGATGGGGAGTTAAGATCAAATGTCAAGACTCAGTCATCCGACATCAACAAAAGGAAATATTTTGGAAGAAGGTCCAAAATTGAAGAGAAAG